GGAAACCTATTAGGCTTATTACACCTTCTTTCAAGTGTCTTGTTCAATAAACCAGGGCATCTGCACCTTTAGTGAAAATACTCAACTAGACTTAAAATATTTCTACTTTCAGAAAGTCTTCTTCTGTTCTCATCTTGGCCTTTTAACATCCACTGTACATTGTGCATGGAGGGCCATTCTTGGAAGTACTTGTTGCCAGTAGCTGTTCTGAGGAGCATTCAGCTGAGCCCTAAAAGCCTGCAAGGCCTCAGACTCCAAGTCAAGCATGTTACGAAATCATTCTTAGTTCAAATGGACCATTAGTGGTCTTAATGACTTAATTAACTTGTTCAGTGTATTGAGTCTGATATTATTCACGTTGACAAATGATTCTGACCAAAGCTATCTTTCCAACTATTAGGGACTCAGTATCTCTATGGAAGGTCAAGTGAAGCACTTGATGGTCTGCGTCTTTGTTGAATGCACCCCAGCAGAAGAGACAAAGCACTTCCTGCTTAAAACATAGCAGAACAGTGGGGTAGAACTGTTGGGGTCTAGCAAGATGGTTTAGAGCAAGGAGTTTTGGATGCAGAGAGATCTGGATTTGAATTTGGGGTCTGCCCACTTCCAGCTCAGTAATCTTGAGCTATAGGTTACCTAACCTTTACAAATCTCAATTTTCTCATCTGCTCAGTGGGTGTGAAAATAGTATTTTATCTTGCATTTCCCATGAGAATTAAATAGGAAAATGGGTATAACATGTATTGCATAGTTCTCTGTGCAGTTTGGATACTCAGGAGATATTAGCAATTAAGAACTATTTTTATTAGTGACGGTGACAACAAGGATTTTGTCATCCTCTCAATTCTCTGAACTTTGGTTTTCTAATCTTATGTGGGAGGAATACTAGCGCCTCCCAGTGCTGTTGTGGGCTGGTTAAACGCCAAGTGCTTCGCTCAGTGGCTGGTGTGTTGTAAGTGCACAATGAGTATTAGTTGTCATTTTACAGTTGTTATTAAAAATTGTTGTCTTTGGGCAGCAAGATAATATCACATGGCATATTGAGGTTTAAGTCGTATATGTTGGGTAGACTGGGGAGTTAATGGGAAAAACGTCTCTCAGGGTTAAAAGGAGACGGACTTGTTCTAGTCTTTTCCTGGCATTCAGTTGGTGAAGCTACTTACGGTAGCCCAACCTCAGTGTGGCAGACACTGTTGACAGCCCACGCATACCCTCTTGGAACCTAGTGATGCACGCACGCTGAACCAGTGACTCCCACCTGCCGCGCTGCCTGCAACTTTGTCTGCTCTAGCTGCTCCGCCCCTGCACAGGGGGTCTGAAAGTGCTGGGAAGAAATGTGCTGCTCTGCATCTCAGGCTCTCGGGGGGCTGAGCCCCAGGTGCCCACAGCTGTAGCCTTCTCTCCATGACGCAAGATGCATTTGCTCGCCTCCCTTCTCTGCTTCACTTCCCAACCCCTACTTGTAGTTGAATTCTTGCCTCAGAGTCTACTTCTCTGGGGGACGTGGTGACAAGGCATCCAGTTTTTCACTGGGTCAAATGAAATTATAGTTGTTATGACCTTTGAACATCAAACTACAAGTGCTCTAGGTAAGTGAAGACTTCTTACTCTTCTGCCAGGACTGAAGATTTCCTACCGATTGTGTAGACCAAAGAACCAGCCTAAGCTGTTGCCGAACACTGGTGGAGACTCCATCCTCATTCAGGCTACCATGTTCTCACTCCAGGGCTTCTGGCAACTCATACTGTGTCCATCCTCCTCCAATCCTGTTGCTCTCCTTCGGTCATCCTGTTTTATTTTCTCCTCAGCATTTACCATGATATGAATTTCTCTTATTTCTTTATTGGTATACGAGCTCTCCGCCTAACACCAGATTATAAAATCCACAAGCACAGATATAATGTCTTTCTCTTTCAAATCTGAATCCCCAGCAACTTACAGCAGAGCTTGGCACATGGTAGGTACTCAGTCAATAGCTGTTGAATCAATTGATGAATTAATTGATCCATTCTCAGCATCCCCATTGACAGGAAGTTGCAAAAATAATACATAGAGTCCCAAGAACCTTCTGCTCAGCTTTCCCCAATGTTGACATCTTATATCACTATAGCACAATATCGAAGGCAGGAAATTGAGAGCAGGACCGAAAACTGAATCATGTCATTACTCTGTTTACCTGCCTCGTGGCTTCCTACTTCACTTAGAATAAATTCCGTTTCCTGTGTCTTACAAGGCCCTTTGTGGTCTGGCTCTTCCAAACTCTGCCGTCCCACCTCCTCACCCTCTCCTTACGTGTCCCGCCCCCGCCCCCCATGGCTTTGCTCTTGTCATTTCTTCAGAGGTGCTGGGTGGTCTCCTCCCTGACGTCCTTGGATGTGTTCTTCTCTCTGACACGTTCTCCCCACAGCTGTGCCTTCCCATTCTGCAAGTCTCAGCTTAAATGTCACCTTCTCAGAGAGGCTTTCGCTATCCTGTTCCGCTTCTCCCCACCCTTGTGCTTCATTTCTTCCCTTCAGAGCACTAATCAAGACTTCTTCTTATATATTTGGTTTGCTTACATGTCTATTACTGGAGTCTTTCCATCTTGAGTGTAAGCTCCAAGGTGCCAGGAGCTGTATTTTGCTCATCTCAGTACCATTAGAAGTTTGACTTATAAAAACTCAGGCTTATGTAAGTGTGGAGTAGGTTGCTACCTCAACATTCAGTAGCCGACTAACATCTGTAGAGTGCTGTACAGTCCATCAACCTTTTCCACACATGACCAGGTCACTGCCCTATAAAGTAGGATTATCTGCATCCCCATTTTACAGACTGACAATAGTAACGTTCATTGATCACTGCACAAGGTGATTTTAATGCCCTAATGTTGCTTCCCTTGGCCGGCCTCCAATTTTAGCCACAGCTGTTCAAGATAGTTCCTGCTCATGCTGACCGTGATCTTCTTCATGCACACCCCTTTCAAGGCTCCCCTTTATCCCTCCTCAAAGCCACTGTCCCTGGGAGTGGGGGGAGGGGGGTGGCGGTAGCCCTCATGCAGCTTCCCCTCCTCCCACCCCAGCTCATCACCTAACAGTTATTAGGTCTCTGGGCATATTTCTCTGAAATCACAGGAGCCTGCCCAGTCTGCAGGCAAGTGCAACCTGGAAATGAGGGAAAATTACCCCCCGCCCCGGGGCAGCTCTTAGCCAATGGGGGCTGGGGGGGGGTGGTAGATAAATACTCCAGCTCCTGTCCCTTGATGAGAAATTGCTGGAGCCATTTTGAATACTACTCAAGAATTCTGCCGGTGTTTCCCCCTTCTCTCTCTCCTCCCCTCACCCCCTCACTCTTGCATCCTGGAATCACCTTCCCCTGCCTCCAGGGGAACCCAAACTCAGTGCCTCCTGGGTGTTCCCATGCCTTTACATGCCTTATCTGTTTCATCCTGGTATCATCCTAGGAGGCAGATATGCCATTATCCCCACGGCAGTGGGGGGGGCAGCTGAATGAATGAGAAGTTAAATGTCTTGCCAGAGGCATCCATTGACTTGTCCACATCCCCCAGGGCTTGGGGATAATCCCTGGGCTGTCAGCTCCCCTTCATTTCCAGGCTGCACTTGGCTTTAGGCTGTGGGTTCAGAAGAATCCTGGGGCCTCTGAGAGGGGATCAGGGAAGACCTAAGAGGGTCAAGTAAATGGCAGCACAGGGGATTCCAACCCAGGCAAGTGGGATCTCAGGACCCACCTGTTCCACCTGGATGCATTACCTCCTTCCAAGGAAAGGCCAGGAAGGGGAAGTCACACCCTGAGATACATTTAGGAGCGGGGAAGCGGCAATTCCCAGTTAGGTCTAGTGGGCACAGAGACCTAGGCTCACCTGCTACACTGATTCTCCCCTTCTGAAAAGGCCAGGTCTACTGTTTTTTTTTTTTTTTTCTTGAAACCAGAAGGAATAAAACCAGGTTAGTGAACTCCCTGTTGGATTGGGGGAGCGTTTTATTGTGAATCCGCCTCGGACCGTGGAAGCTTCTGTCTGGACCAGGGCGGGCAGTGCTTTCTGTGGATCAGAGCCCCAGGGGACTTCAGACTGAGGCTGGTAAAGAGAACTGCTAGCTCTGGGGGTTTCTCCACTTTGGAGAGTCCACGACAGTATAGGAAGTAGAGGCCACTCTCTCCTCCTGGAGAGCGCTGAAGGAAGTGGTCACATCTGGCCACTGTCCCAGGAAATGAGGGGTCCTCCCTCCCACGGCCAGCCTGCTGCCTCAAAGGTGTCAGCTGTCAAGGCCTCCTCCTCTGCCCCGGGGGTCCTTTATTCTCATCCTCCTGCAGTCTACACTCTATCTACCCTGCAGCCACTGAGATCTTTCCAAAATGCTGATCTCATTGTGTCCCTCCTCCGCTTAAAATCCACTAGGGAGTTCCCTTAGCTTCTCTGGGATAAAGACAGGATTCCCACTTGTGGCTGCTAGCAGGAACCACCCCCCAACCCTCTTGCCACAGGTCCACCAGCAGCCCGCCTCTGACAAAGCCCCCCTCGCTCACTGTACTCAGGCAACCAGACCTAGCCATCCTGCCTCCCGCCATCTGAGAGCTTTGCAAGGCTGCCTGGGATTCTCTTCTTCCCTGCTACTCTGTCCGTGTGAAAGCAGGGGCAGGCCTCTAGTCTGAAGCTCCCCTCCCCCTAACTAGCTCAAGTCCCTCGGATAAATGTTCTCGTGGACTCCTCTGTCTCTCCATGTTGCACACAGCGTTAAGTGGGGTGATTATTTTAATGTCTGCCTCTTCCAATAGAGTAGAAGCTTCAAGGTGAGGCATGTTTCTGTTTTTTCTTATTCTTACATCCCCAGTGCTTTGCATGGCAGTGGGTGCAGAGGGGGTCCTAAAATGGGAGAAGAAAGGAACGAACAACCCTGGGCTTGGAAACAAGGGCAGGGGAGAGATTGGAAACATTGCGCATTTATACCTTGTATAAAGGTATTGTTAAATCCATTGCTAAAACTAACCAGGTTCTATTGCAATTCTGCACTATCCAGCCAGGGCTGTAAGCAATAACTTTATTAAGGTCAAATAGATATCACAATACAGATTTATCCAACGGGATCCAGAAACTGGTTACAGATATCATCTAAGAAACACGGCTGTTTTGTGCTAAAATGCTTCCAGCATCACAGATCACAGAGTTTGTACATTGATAACAACTTTTATCTGGAAATACAGATGCACGGTTTGCCCTCACTGTTGGGCCTTGATGTTGCAATTGAATTAAAACAAAGAGGCGAAGATTGGTATTTTCTTGATAATGAAAAAATTCTGAGGAATATTTCATGAAAACCCTTTTTGGGATCAGAGTTGCTCACGGAAGTCATTTCTAATTTATGGGTAACACTCAAATCAGAATTAGTAATTAGTAGGTTAAGCCGTGACTGGAGAATTTTTAATAATTGGATCTAGGAACATATTAACTTTACAAATAAATAGGATTTAAAAGTTTAGCTGGTAGTGTAGATTCTACAGAACATCCTTTATAAATTAATATGTCGGCACAATACTTCTGACTATGGTGTCCGATATCTGCATCTCTATTATTCTAAGAAAACAACATTCCATAAACACGAACAGTTATTGGGCCTATTGTTCATAGTCGGTAGAATAAGAGCCACAAAACACCATAGAAAGTTACAAGAATGTAAATATTTAACTAAGTAAATAGAATAAATATTGGGCAGTTACCATATATAACACTGAAATATCGACTAATAGGAGAAAAAAAAAATCCCAAACCTTAGTTACAGTGCATTCAGAATTGGGTAAAGCCAAAGGGACAAATTTGCAAGTATACAAAGTAATGAATATATTTCTTTAAATGTCCATTTAACAAATTCATGGTGCAAACTGGAAAATTTTCATAAATACAGTTCAAATATTCATTTAGTGAGAAAATGCTTATTCATGCACTAAATCATATGAACACTGATTGATTCTCAAGTAAAAAAAAAAAAAACCAGCGTAATTGTCTGAAACAAATACTTAGAGACTCACAGTCCTACAGGGTCTACAACCAAACACAATAACACATGCACGTGTGATACACCAAATTATCTTATAGAAATCATTAAAACATCTTTCGCATCAAAACGCATCGGGAAACTCAGTGCTATATAATTTACTTTATGCATAATACATACTAGAGACTTTAAGCTACAAAATGCTTTTACTATCTCAACACACCTACATAACAATCATAAAAGTATCTGTGTATATAACAAGGTACTCTCCAATTAAGCTTCTATGATGAATAATGTATCTCCTCATGTCGTCTCCTCTCTAAGTACCATTTATCACGACCCAGGCTTTTCTGCCTTAATGAGACTCCAGATCTCTGATTTACATTCAACACCCTCTGCATTAATAATTGATTGGAACTCTTATAAAATTCTTCTGCTACTAGAATGGAAGGTGGTGAAGCTTTCTCCAGAAGAATGCAAATACTACCTGTTAAATCTGATTGGTAAAAGAAGCTGGGCCACTGGACTGTTGGCCAAACTCATCGGAGGACGGCCCCAAGCTCGCCTGCTGCCCATACCCACCACTTGACCCATAGCTGTCTTGGTTGTAGCCGCCGTGGTTATAGCTGCTTGAGTGCTTCTCCATCGGGTCTGAAAGATACCTCTGTCCTGAGGAATGCCAGCCGGTCTCCTTGAAAACAAACCAGATGTTTCCAGCCCAGAGGATAAAGTTCAAGAACCCAAAGACCTAAAGGAGAATCAGAGCAAGTGAGTTGAGAGACAGAAACGCAAGAAAAATCTCAACTTCAGAAAAATCCTTCACGATACAATGTAAGGCTACTTTCCGTTCAAGATTGAGATCTCTTCCAATTTTTCATTTGGATCTGCTATTTCCTTTAGAATATCTGACTTTTATTGAATGCTTCCTACACATTGGGCACTGTATAAAGGGCTTAGTGTGTATGGATTCATTCAGCCTGAGAAGAAGGTGCTATTATTATACCCATGTTAAAGATGTGAAAACTGAGGTTCAAGACACGAATCTTGTTCAAGGTCACATGACTTGCTAAGTAGTACATAAGGGTCAAGCCCTGTTCTGTCTGACTCCATCATTTGAGTCCTTACTGAAGCGTTACTGTCTCCCCAAGTGAGGGATTCCTCATTGTGTAAGAGGTCTTTGGGGGATACAGAGTTGAGAACTCTCATTTTAATGATAGTGCATTAATTTACAAGGTTACCTTCCCATTATGGCTAGAGATCCTACTCTTCCAGGTCTTGTAATGCTATAAAAAATGAGTCAACTTAAAGATAGAAGTATGGAGTAAGCATTCATACAGGTGGCATGCAGGTAAGCACACGAATGTTAGTGCACACAGAGGCTGTGACTTTGAATAGTTGAACTTTCTGTGCCTCTCACATTCAGAAATGAATGTTGAAGCCAGACGAGTGAAATGCAGATGTCAGAGAAGTAGGCGATGTTTTCCCAAGAACTGGATGTGAGGCTTTCCTATAGAAATTCCTCTTACACTCCAAAAGGGTGTTGTTGGTGAATCAGAGGATCAGGTGTTGCCTCCCCAGGCCCTGAGGGTTTGATGGAAGCAGCACTGTTCACTGGTGCAAGAGGCCCCAAACAGAACAGCTGTTCCACACCTTTCCCCCGGGGGCATTGGTTGACCTGGAAACTAACCACAGGCAGTGGATTTTAACAGCCCCCTACTGGAGACAGACAACAGTATGATATAAAGCTGTGATGACATTAAAGTACATTTAGTAGCCACTCCAGCGTGACAATCACCAATCAAAATGGACTTGGGCCACCGCCATAGCTCTGGAATTTGGGTGCTGGAAGTCCTCTGCTGGGCCAGAATTTATCCTTTTGTTGCTGGATGGTAAGGTGGTCCTGAGTGCCCTGTGGGTGGGAGTGGGGGGCTAGTGTAGTCAAGATGAGGCGCCTTGGGGCCTTGGAGCAGGGGCTTTTCACCAAAGTATTTGAGTATTTTAGCAGCAGGTGGATCAGGGCACACTACTTGAATGTCAACTTGGGAGTCATCCCATGGGTTTTGAAATCAGGGTGGCCTAAACTCTGCACCTTCTTGCTCTATGACCTTGGACAAGGCAGTTAGCCTCTGGAACTCAGCTTCTTTTGCCACCCCCCCTTCTATGGAATGAAAACAATTATTCCTTCCTTGGGTGACAGTTGTAAGGATTAAAGAGAACATGTGTAAAGCAGCTAGATGGTGTTGGACACATTAGAAAATGCTTACTGACTGGTAAGCTATGCTCTGAATACTTTCCCCAGTATTTCCATGAATTGTATTCAGTTGGCTCTTTGGCTGCAGCATAAGCTGACGTGGGACTTTGACGATAGGGGATGTCGGCAGCCCAAGCAGTATTTAGGCCCTCACCTGATCCAAAAGACTGGTTTATCCCTTCTTCCTTCTCTCCCATTCTACCCTCTTTTTTTCCTTTAATGTTAACTGACGTTTGTTTAACATTGTTTTATGCCATGCTCCAGGCTCCTTGCTACGGGAGATACAAAGCATAAATAAGGTACTCACAGGATAACAGTTGTGTGATCAAAATGAATTAGGTAATCACCGATAACACTGTAATATACATGCAGGATCTTTCATCTGTGTGTACAGTAACTAGGATATTTTCCATCAAAGGGAGATCTTGGTTAAATTGTATCTTTGTAAGTATATGTCAATATATGAGTAGAAAAAATTATCAAGGAATATTTTCAGACATGAAGAGAGGGCTCTGCCCAGAGCTGTCATTTTATGTTTCTTATTCCTTGATTTCTCCCTTTTGCTTGCTGCTACTTGGTTTCTAGGAAAGGTATGCTCAAGAAGAACACAGAAATCAGGGAAATGCAACTTAAAAGTGAGAACATACAAAAGGTGTCCCCATGGGCATGTGTCAGGAGCAGCGATGTCTTATTCCATTGTCATCACACTGATATTGCAGACTCCTGGCTGGCCCGTTGTAGGGGCTCATGGGCCCTTTCATCTTTTCTTGCCATTTTGTTGCAACTGAAGTTGGAGTAAGGATTTTGATTCAAGCTCACATGTGGGGACAGCGGAAGGAGAGACCGAAAGAAAACGTGCATAGTGTGAGAAAGAATGAGGAGATGAGATCTAGATTAGCCGAGAAGATGTGTCAAGATTGCCTATGATGAAGCTGGAGAAGCAGAAGTAGAAATTATGGAGAGAACAGTTATGCTCAGGGAACCTTTGCAAGAAAAGTTGAGAGAGGAAAACAACAACAACATTCTTTTCCCCTACCCTGTTTTTTGGGCTCTAACGCGATATGACATTTAGGAAAATGAAGGTATTATAGAGGCAGCTTTTGGTTGACACTTACTGAACATCTGCCCTATGCTGAGCACTGGGCTAAGTATTTATCATCTATTATCTCATTGAATCAACAGTCTTGTGAGGTCTGGTTGATAATAGCCCCACTTCAAATAATGAAACTAAGGATTAGGGACCTTAATGAATTTGCCCAAGGGCAGTCAATTATTGAGCGGTGGGGCCAGGATTCAAACCCTGGCAGACTAACTCCAAAGCTATGCCCTTAACTGTTTCAAGTGGCAACAGCATTCGGGGACTTTGGCTCTAGTCTGGCATTGCTGTCACCACTTGGGATGTCTTATGCAAATCCCTTCCCCGCAGCTACCTGCATTTGAAATATCTGGATAGCTCCCTGCCTATTTGTGTGAGTGTGAAATCACAGATGCCAAAATGCTTTGGAGAAAGTAAATTTGTTACCCAGGTAGAAATACCATTGCTCTTGCTGAATCAGTTACTTGTAGAGGTCACCCCTTGTGGTGTGTCTGGCTCCTCCTCCAAAGCCTACTAGACTTGCCTAGTAGGCAAGTTGGTTTGGTTCTGTGAGCCATATTTTCTCTGCACAATTCCCCCAACCCCCAGCCAAGGTGGACACCTGGCCCAAGATGAGCTAATGAGATTCTCTCTGCCAGAAATGTGGGATTAGACCTGAGTGATTTTTAGTTCAATTCAAGATGTTCCTTTAAAAAGAAACAGGGTCGCCTGGGAGGCTCAGTTGGTTAAGTGTCCGACTCTTGGTTTTGGCTGGGGGCATGATCTCAGGTTGTGAGATTGAGCCCCGCATAGGGCTAGGTGCTCAGCCAGAGTCTGCTTGAGATTCTTTCTCTCTCTCTCCCTCTGCCTCTCCCCTACTCTCTCTCTCTCTCAAATTAATAAATAAATCTTTTTAAAAAGATAAAAAGAAATACAAACTCAGAAACCGTGGGGTGGCTATCTTCCCTTGTGTAAGCAGGAAAAAGAAAAAATGCATCTGAAAAGAGACAATTATATAATAGACATTCAGAAAGAGAGAGATGAGGGATGAACGATGCGAACTGCCTAGTTTCCTGCCAGTCTTCCAGTTCTGGCCCCGGGGTTTGGCCCTTAGAAGACACATTTCTGGTGTCTTTCTAATTACTTTTACTTTTTGTGAAAAGCTAGCTCAATAGGATTTGAAGCCAAATGAGTTTGTAATGGAAAAAAAAAAATCACTGCGTTTTGGCAGATAAATATTCTTTCCCTTTGCTTTTGGTAATAGAAATTTTGTTTACCTCGAAAAGCCCAGTTGCAGTCAAGTGGCGTGAGCTCTGTGCTGGAACTTTAAATCAGGAGAGGAGTATGGAAGGTCAGGTATGCCCTGGTATCTGACATCTGGAACCTTGGTCCAGCTCTAGATGCTGCTTTTTGTAGAGCCTGTTTCATCAGATTTCATCAATTTTCTGAGCTACTTCTTACCTTTCCAAAGATATTTTTTTTTTCCTGATGAGGTTAGTCAGGGTCAGTTTCTGTTACTTGCAACCCAAACATTCCAGCACATACGGGCATTGGTGCAAAAGGGGGTGCAGAGAACAGATGTTAGGGATAGGGGGATTGTTTTGCTTTAGCTCCTTGAATTGAATTTTCTGTCACTAGGACCCTTAACTGTTGTAGATCCAGAACTGTCCTCTCTCACAGAACATGCTATTTGGTTTCCATCATTTCTCTTTTTGATTTTTTAAAAATTTATTTTGTTAAGATTTTATTTATTTGAGAGAGAGAGAGAGAGAGCACGAGTGGGAAGGGAGGCAGAGGGAGAAGCAGACTCCCCTGCTGAGCAGGGAGCCCGAAGCAGGACTCGATCCCAGGACCCCAGGATCATGACCTGAGCCAAAGGCAGACACCTAACCAACTGAGCCACCAAGGCGCCCCTCTCTTTTTGATTTTTTTTAAAAAATGTTAATTATGTATTTTATTTAAAAATATACATGTATGTATAAAATTTAGTGGATATTTTCTTTTCTTTTTTTATTTGAGTATAATTGACACACAACATGGATGGACCTAGAGGGTATTATGCTAAGTGAAATCAGTCAGGCAGAGAAAGGCAAATACCTCTTTTTGATTTTAGGAGACACCTCACATTGTTTCTCATTCAAAATTCCCATCGCCTAGTCTAAAACTTGTTAGAGACATCAGAGGTAGAATTAAATAGACCATGCAGGATGTCATAATGTATTAGAAGATTGATTAGTAATTGGACAAACACATTGGGTGATTTTTCTCTTTGTTCTCTTAGATTCTGAGATCCAGATTATAATAACCTTCATTCAGCACTGCCTAGAAAGAAACTGCAGAAGCAGGAGAATATATTTCCATGCATTCAGCGGCAGGTGTGGCCAGCAATGAGCAAAGATGATGGTGAGACCCTCGGACACACTTTCATCCCATGTTTCCTCTCTCACCAAGGCAGGATCCACCATCAAATCATCAGGAAATGATTAGCAACCCTTTCCCCCCGTCTTAAATGCCTTCTCAGATTAAATTTCAGAAAGCTGTAAAACATAAGCTAACCTTGAAGCCAAGATAATTATTTTTAGGGATTGCTAAAGAATGTTTTTCCTTCTGCAAACACAGTCAGGTCTTCTATTCTTCCGTAACGACTGCTTTTTGCTGCCATTATAGCTTCTGTCTTTCTTAGATGCAGTTTCTTTAACATAACACAAGCATCCAATTTAGCTGCCCTGCTATTTGTCAGATTTTCTGTCTTCCTGTGAGAGATATACATTTGATAATATTTGATTTTGTTCAACTAATATAGTTCCCCTTTTCCAAAGTTACCAGGCAATTAAACTGGGAACATGGAGGAGATAAAAAAAATTACTGTAACTATTAAAGTATTTTTTATACTGTGCAATTCTTCCCGCGTCCTACCAGGTCTGCGTGTTTTTTCTCCAGACAATCAACTGGATGTATTCTAGCTATGTGTGGCTTGAACAATGTTTTCTTCCCAGGAAACCTCTCTGCCATCAAATATTCCTTTTAACTTCTGGCAGGCTTCAGCCTTAAAGTTCAGATTTTATATCTGCTTCTGGCTTAGAATTTTGACTTGACTGTCATCCAAGCAGCGGTTGCCAATACCTGCTGGGTTCTTACTAAGACTCCTTAATTGGCGGCATTAAAGCCCATGGGTTCTGACAATAGAAAACTTGAAGACCAGGGGATCATCTTGCACAGGGAGCGAAATATCGCCTCTTACATTGGCCTAGTTTTGGAGGCAGAAATCTCCAAGATGACTTCTGAGATGCTTTTCCTATTACTTGAATGGCAAACAAAGATTTGGGAGGTAAAGTATAGATGAAAACATACCACGGAAGTGTTTAAGCTGGACATTACAGGGCTGTGGACCGCCATGCATTTGTTGGACGGCTGTTTGCAAGCTGACATCAGTAACAAGACTTCCTTGGGATCCGTCGCGACCTTGACATCAGACAGTCCTTTCGCCCAAGCTGATGAACCCACCAACCACAAGAATGAAAAGACTACGGTGACGACGAAGTCCTACAGAAACAGAAAGATAAAACAGTAAAAGAAGTGTGAAGTTTAGAAACGAATTGGTTACTTTATGCAACTATGCGACTTGCCTTTTGGAAAATTCCTAGATCCCAGAGCACTGGAACCAGGGAGAAGTTGAAAAATAAATAAAGTTCTGTGACATTATATTTATATTTGTATAAAATAAACAATGGTAATATTTATTGAATGCGTGCTGTGTTCCAGGAATGATACTAGGTACTTATAGCCCTCCTCTAATTGTTCCTACAACATCCCTGTGAAGAAGTTCCTATCATTGTCCCAGTCACAATTGACAAAACTGGGACAGGGGATGATCGAGCGGCTTGTCTAGATGCCCACAGATAATCAGTGATGGCGTCAGCACTCAAACCTGACAAGCCAACTCCTAAGCCCACAATCTTAGCCACCCTGTGCTGATGACTGTGAACAGAGAGATTTGTCGATTGCTAAAGACTCCTAGATAGCAATATTCATTCATTCGCTCATTCTTTTTTTTCATTTAACAAACCTGTGTGTCATCTAGTGTATGCTTGGGACGGTGTTAAGTGGGAGGTACTAACAGCCATAATGTTTATGAGTGCTTTTTTATCCTTACAAATATCATGTTAGACAATATTTTTAATACCCATTTTAAAGATGAGGAAATCAAGGCCCAGAGATATAAGGTAACATATAGAAAGGGGCAGAGCTAGAATTCAAATCCAGATCTGTCTGACTTAGAAAAGGATCTGCTATGATTACAGGGGAAAGAAGCTTCTTTTTTCACATGAAACAACATCTCTACAATGTAAGAGGGTGAATATTTTAAAGAGACATTCTGAGCATCTGGGCTACTTCTCATATCCTCCCTCATGACTCAGAGGGGGTGGGGGTTGGGAGTCACTGTCCAAGCTGGAAGCAGACCGTGTTCCAACATAGGACAGGTTTTCAGATTTACTTATTTATGCCTGACTACAAAAAAATGTTGCATCCTGCTTATCTAGTATACGAAAAACACTGACCTGGAAAGGAAAAGAGTACGTTTGCTATAACGAACAGAAAGATTTATTTTTTTTATTCTGAATGATAAGCCTGTCATGTAGAAAACTTGCCCTGTGTCTCTTTCGCACCCAAAGGCATGGCACATCTGACTTGTTCTGGTGAGTTTTCCCTCATGACATGACTGAGTTATTTTTCATCAAATCCCAGGATCGACACTGAGGGAACTCTTACATTGTAAGGATGCTGTTGTGGATGGTATTTGTTAGGTGTGACTTGTGTTTCATATATCCTTGTAAACTATCTTAAGTTGTTTCTGGAATGAATGGTGGTATAAACAGACAAACAAACACAATATCTACAGCAATCAATAACAACATTTGGAATCAAGAGACTCAAGTGTTTTGAGTCTGAATTACAAACTGGAGGAATGGTTACAAATAAATAAGACAGGTTGACTCTGTCAAAGACAAATTTAGGTTCATGTTCAATCTGGTACTTTGTTCATTCATGCATGCTTTCATTCAAACAGTCATTTTTGAGTAATGTGCCAGGTACTGGGCACAGTCCTATGAGGGAACTAAGAAAATGCAAAATATGGACTCTGCTTTCTTGCTGTTGCATATTTGTCAGGGGCTCTAGACACCCTATCGTTCCAATTATGAGACAGTAGCTGTCATTATTTATGCTCATCATAATTAAAAGTAGACTTGAGAAAATGGTGTTAGGGTGGGGAAACAAGAACAGAGTCATGTGAAGACCTATCCATTGGAAATTGGAGAAAATACTATCAAAACTTTTAGACTTTTAATAATAGTAAGAATGCCTATATGATCTCACTGATATGAGGAATTCTTAACCTCAGGAAACAAACTGAGGGTTGCTGGAGTGGTGGGGGGTGGGAGGGATTGGGGTGGCTGGGTGATAGACATTGGGAGGGTATGGGCTATGGTGAGCACTGTGAATTGTGTAAGACTGTTGAATCACAGACTTGTACCTCTGAAACAAATAATACATTATATGTTAAAAAGAAAAGAAGATAATAGGAAGGGAAAAATGAAGGGGGGAAATTGGAGGGGGAAACGAACCATGAGAGACTATGGATTCTGAGAAATAAACTGAGGGTTCTGGAGGGGAGGGGGTAGAAGGATGGGTTAGCCTGGTGATGAGTATTAAAGAGGGTACCTATTGAATGGGGCACTGGGTATTACACACAAACAATGAATCACGGAACACTACATCAAAAACTAATGATGTAATGTATGGTGATTAACATAACATAATAAAATTGTAAAAAAAAGAATGCCTAACATTTATGGAGCACTTTTTATATGTGCAGTATTTTCCCAAGTTTACATGAATTAACTCATTTAATCCTGACAACAGCACTGTGAAACAGATGCTAATCCAGTCCCCATTTAACAGTTGGGGAAACTGAGGTACTAAAGGGGTTCAGTAAAACTGCTCAGAGTAAGGAATTAGCCAGTGGTGGAGTCAGGAACGTCAGCCTGGTCAGCTGCTTCCGGTACCTGTGAGCTTGACTAGTCTATACTTTCCCTCATGTCCACTTTAAGGAATACTGATCTTCTTATTTAAAACAAATAAAAAAATAAAACAAGTACACTAAAAAGCTCCAAAGTTGGACTTGAAGTCCTGCTTAATTTAGATATGACAAATAGTAATGAGTCATTTTCCATAAACAAACTTCATGATTGAAGTCAAGGATCTGTGTCCTTGAGGGTAAGTAAACACATTATATTTGGTAGAACATCTAAACATTTACCCCAGTACCATTTTGCAAAGAGACAGCAATATATCATATTAAAGTATCTTCTGTACTAGGTTAACAGCTCAGAGTCTGTCATCAGATAGACCTGGGGCTGAATCCTGACCCTGCTACTCACTAACTGTGTTCTTGGGCAGTTTACTAGACAACTTGATGTTGCAGTTTAGTTCACTGTAAAATGGAACAATAACAGTTTTTAGTTCACTGTAAAATGGAACAATAACAGTATCTGTCTCACAAGATGGTTATGAGAAGTGAAAATACATTTTGTTTGTTTGTTTGTTTGCCTGTTTCTCCCAGTAAGAGGTCAGCTCCATGAGGGCAGGAACTGTCTACTTTGCTCATTGCTGAGTCTTGGCACAAGAGTTGCCATCAACAGTTAGTCAAAGAATGAAGGAAGGGAGAAATACACAAAATGGTCCCAATTTTGATAAGATGTTTACATTTATGTATATAACATGTGTAAGAGTTTACCAAGTGGTGGTTGTAGGATTAAAGATGACTTTTATTTTGTTTTATGTAAGCTTATGTATTTTTTTAAAAAAAGATTTATTTATTTTAGAGAGAGAGAGCATGAGCGGGAGGGACAGAGGGAGAGGGAGAGAGCATCCCAAGCAGACCCCTCCAGACCCCTCCCCCCCGCCCTGAGCCCGATGCGGGGCTCCATCTCATGATCCTGAGATCAGGATCCCAACCAAAACCAGGAGTCGGATGCTTAACTGACTGCGTCATCCAGGTGCCCCTAAGCTTATGTATTTTTAAACATACCTTATTTTAAATTAGACCAAATAAAAATAATGTGGCAATGTAATCAAGACATTGACTGACAGAACTTCAGATGGCTCTGTTTGTCCTTACAATAGCATCAGGATTTATAATTAGACCAAATAATAAATGTCATTAGAATTGAGTTTTGCAGCAAAGGGTTCCAGAAAGTAGTCTCAAGTGCCACGTTTCCACAACTAAGCAAAGTGTGAAGATGAGGAGATTATGTAAAAAGTTCTAGATAAAGAATATATTAGCCTGAACTATTTAATTTTTGGCTTTGGCATTTAGCCTGAGTTAGAGGCCACTTGCAGAGAGTGCCGTGTGGGAGCAAATCCTTGACCCTACATTTCTCCCTTCCAATCTCCTGTTGAGGCTCCCATTAGCCAAACCCAGCTGGAACCCAGCGGGCAGGTTGCCCACTGCCGTGATCCATGCAGTCAGGTCCTGGCACAGAGCAAGATGGGGAGGGGCAGGGCATCCATCAGAAGCTGTCCCGAACTAGAAGTTGTCTCCAGAGCCTCAACCATAGCTGCCGTGACCCGTGTTCACCAGGCACTCTGCTCAGCACTTACAGACATCATTAACCTTACGACATAGGTACTTGACATTAGCCCTGCTTTTCTTATGAGAAAACTGAAGCAGTGACAGGGTGAATACTTTCCTTATAATTAATACCTGGCTTGATTATGTATCATGCGCTTTCTGAAAAGCTGGGGGAAAAGATGCTCTTTGGTGTGTTTATGTAAATAATTACCTTAGCTGGTGTTCTCTAAATTTTAGTCATTTTGGTACCACCAAACAATTTTTATTTTATCCACATTCTCTCATGTTATTGTTTCATCTTTCATTTAAAGCAAATTACCCTTTTTATATAAGTGAGGTCATCTCAGAAGGAAATTATATGTGTACTATAATATCAAACCAACACAACTTGCCATGGATAGGTGGGAATTGCAAACATAAGTGCTCCACAGTGAAAACAGAATACCTTAAATTCTAGCTGGGGATGTTTGCACAAGGCTTTAGAATCTAGGATCTTTGTTAAAAGGGAGATTAACAAGTGTTAGAGGGATATTAAAGAAATACTAGCATGACCTAACCAGAAGACCTGAAGTTAACTAGAATGTGGAATAAGTTCCTCAGTCATGTTACTTAATGCTATGTTAAGGGCCCAGCTACACCATCTGCTGCATCAGGAGGGGTAAATTCCTCCCACTTGAGAGGGGATTTTCTTCTGATGGTGCAGACAAGGACCTGGTGTTTACAAATGCTGCTTCCCCATGTCTATCTAAAAGAAATAGTGTGCAGGGAACAAACTCAAGAGGTGAATCTGTAACATTTACAGCTAGGTTATCATGTGCATAATTAACCCTTTGAAGGTATCTTCTGCTGGCTTTGCTTGTGTTCTTTATTCTCATAGAGTGGGCAGGCTGCCATTAGAGTGCCT